TCAACATTTTTGTTAAATTAAATTTAAGAACGTAGAAACTTAAAAAATTCTACGGGTCAAGATAGGCTGAACGGTTTAGCGTTATAACGTCAATTCACCACAAAATCAATATTGACACTGACGAGGTTATTAATACATTTGCAGCAAAGAAAGTCAAAAGACTGGTTATGTAGCTTCCTGAAAGGTAAAATTTAATTCTTTTTGCCTTATTACCAATATTAGATATTAATAATTATTGACCGTAATGTAAATAACGTACGGGAAGGCATTTAGTGAAATGGCTTATACCTACCTTATACCGTATACCAAATCCGAATTTTATTGCACTCGTTTATTTTTTTCTACCTACGGCCTTGTTACAGATAGCGCTTCATAAATATTCTGGAAAATAAAGAGAAAACGTCATTGGAATGTCATAAACATTAGAAAGTCAATTTGGAAAACAAAGTGCCAAACATTTAGGGGCTCTGAACCCTCTAAACCCTCCTAAATCCGACACTGAATATGTTATTTTTTCTTTAGAACTCTCTTATAAAAATAAACTTTTCCAATTAAAAATATGTTTTCCAAATAGTTTTATTGCTTTTTAATGCTTTAGAAACATTATGTTATTGTATTACGTGCTCAATTCGACCCAATTATTTATAATTAAGACCTAATTATAAAATGTACCAATAAACCTTGTTAATCCTTTATTTAAACAAATATTCTGCTACATTAGTTTAATTGGAGATATGGATATTTGATATTAATTAAGATAGATTCATTTAACAATATATTAGTTTGCAATGATTGAATCATGATGGGTTAATATAATCAATTTGATAATTTATAACAGATAAGTGGAATGTAATATCCTGAGTAAGGACCACAAATACAGGGTTGCTGAAAACTTAAGGAGAGTGACCAAATATGTTTTTTTACAAAAAAAAATTGTTCGAATAATTAAAAACTCTTTACTTTCTGTATTTGTAATCAGTCATACATATAATATAATATTGCATTTTTATTATTAATTAAATTACTAAAATTGTACAAAAACCAAAATAACAAAAAAGGTCTCTAATTAAATATGGAATATCTTATTTTTTTCTCAAGAAACAACAGCATAGTATTTATATATTTATATAATATATTCTACGAGATAAAGGAACTTGCATATAAAAAGTCCAAGTTTTGAAAGACAAACCCTTTTTTTAAACCGAATGTTATAGCTTTAGTTCATAACTTTTCGTTTTTCTAACACATTATAATATATTATCTACACCGAGATAGTAAAAATCCAATTATTCTATATTTGTAATTTCAGACCACTTTACATTTTTTTTGTATTATATAAATAACACAATACACGAACATATTGTTACTATAGTATTCAACACCCATTTTATTTATTAACTTTATTTTACCTGTCTTAAATGGCATTTCGCCCACGGACTAAACTTAGCTGAAGGTAAGTTAAATTTGGAAAAAGTAAGTGTAAAACTAACTGACAGCTGTCAGATAAAATATAAAATAAAATTGGCATTAAATTCATTGTGGTTGTTGTATAAAATATTGTGTGCGACTATTGGTCAAAACTTCACTCTTAAGTTATCTTCCACTAGTCCCACTATTTTGCGACTAGTGGGAAAAAGAGGAGATTCCTCGAGCGTGGAATTTTCTCTTTTGACCAATAGTCGCACACAATATATTATTTAACTACCACAAAGAATTTAATTTTTTTTTTTGATTTTTTATTTGAAATCTGACAACTAACAAGCAGTTTTAACCTTTTTTCACAATTTTTACTTAAGGCTAACTTCAGCCCGGGGGCGAAGTGCTATATAGCAACTTGGCGAGTTAAAGTTAAGAAATGAAATGGGTGTCAAATAAACATAAAAGTGGTGGAGTGAAAATAAAAATAAAATGTATAAAAACGTAATCCTGTTATTGGGCCCTGGGCCTGTTGGATACGAATAAATAAATAAATAAATAAATAAATAAATAAATACAATATGCTTGACAAATATTCACATTATTATCTTAAACTACCTATAGGTACATATATGTACTTCTTTTTTAATAATTTTAAAATTAATAAAATTAAGAACTTTATGACTACCCATGGGTATTCAAAAAAAAGGCCACACTTAAAAGAATTAAAGAAACATATACACTATGTAGGCTACATACATACATATATATCCCTAACACCCTGTATTATTATTATAAATGGAATTAAACCTCAACGATTAACTTCCCATTAATTTTTTCTTTATATTTAAGTTGAATCACAATAAACCTTGTAAAATAAAACAAAGTTGTTATCTACCTTTAAATACCTATATAGGGTCTGCTATTTTCATCAATTTTTTATGAAAATCAAATTAATTTTCTATAATACAAACCTGTATAAAATGCAAATGCTGCAAAACTACAAGTTTGGAAATATTACATTTATTTTTGTTGCCCCTGTATATAAACTAAACGTATACATATATGTCTTACTTCAAATTATAGGCGCTTCTAAATAATTTAATGCCAAGTATTCCATTAACTGGAATTCTTATCCTGGTGTGTGTAGTAGGGTGGAGTGAATTTTATTAAATTTATTAATTGATTTTTCCTATATTATTAATTGTTGACTTAAGGCGTAAAATGAATAAATATCGAAAAAATATTCCAATTTTTTAATATCTTGAGGTGGCGCATCAGTCTCGAAGTTTTGAAAATTCTAAAAAAATATTACTTCAATCAAAGTAATAAAAATAGCATTATTTATAAATAAAAAGTTTATTTTAGTAAAATTAACGTGAAACGTAAACATATTTAATAGTAAATCATATGCTTTAAGTAACTTCAGGAGTGTTTATTGGTAGAAATAAGATCTTCTTTTTCGCGAAAATATATGTCAGTATACTTACATTTGGTATCAAAATTTGGTAATTATTTTCTGACTTTAATTCTTGTTCTGATAAAACCATCTCTTGCTTCCGATCCACAAACCGAGACTGAAGATTTAGTATACTGGTTATAACCAGTTTTACACAGCGTTCCACTGGTTGGGTGTGACACGGAAATTTTTGGAAGTATAGGAAATGGTCACCTGAAGAAATCATATCGGTAATTTCTGCCATCGTATTTCATATATACTATAGTCGTGACTGAACCACCTATGCATAGGTGGTTCAGTCACCTTTTCTGTCGCCCAGTGAATTAACTCGTACAAACGTAATGCTTCAGTATTTAGTTGTGGAAGCTTTAATTCCCGTAATCTCGAACATTTTGATTCTTTTCTCGCCTTTAATACTTTCGGCAATGCTAGTTCTCTGATCGATAGATATATTGTAGGTAACATAGCTAGTAATAGGTTTTCGGGATAAATATTAGCTATAGCTTACAAAGATCCAGGCAAGCTAGCACATTCCCTATGGCTGACGTGGGCTAATAGGATTATTCGTTTATATGGGGGGACAGCAAATCCATCGAAAAACCTAAAAGAATTGGCTACTTTTATCATGAAAGTGTATGCCCCAACGTGGTTTTACATCAACACCAAGCCTACGTGCAAACATGGTCCTATTCACATATTTAATATGACTAAAAGGGCATTACATCTCCAGAAAAAATTGAAGGCCTTATAACTATAGTTATAAAGAATATTCAGCGACATATTTATCCCGAAAACCTATTACTTGCTATGTTACCTACAATATATCTATCGATCAGAGAACTAGCACTGCCGAAAATATTAAAGGCGAGAAAAGAATCAAAATGTTCGAGATTACGGGAATTAAAGCTTCCACAACTAAATACTAAAGCATTACGTTTGTAACAGTTAATCCACTGGGCGACAGAAAAGGTGACTAAACCACCTATGACTATGAAATACGATGACAGAAATTTTCGTTACGATTTCTTCGGGTGACCATTTCCTATACTTCCAAAAATTTCAGTGTCACACCCAAGCAGTGGAACGCTGTGTAAAACTGGTTATAACCAGTATACTGAATCTTCAGTCTCGGTTTGTGGATCGGAAGCAAGAAATGGTTTCATCAGAACAAGAATTAAAGTCAGAAAATAATTACCAAATTTTGATACCAAATGTCAGTATTTTCGCGAAAAAGAAGATCTCATTTCTACCAATAAACACTCCTGAAGTTACTTAAAGCATATGATTTACTATTAAATATGTTTACGTTTCACGTTAATTTTACTAAAATAAACTTTTTATTTATAAATAATGCTATTTTTATTACTTCGATTAAAGTAATATTTTTTTAGAATTTTCAAAATTTCGAGACAGATGCGCCACCTCAAGATATTAAAAAATTGGAATATTTTTTCGATATTTATTCATTTTACGACTTTAGTCAACAATTAATAATATAGGAAAAATCAATTAATAAATTTAAAAAAATTCACTCCACCCTAGTGTGTAGCCTACATAATATTATTGTAGGTATCTTGTAAAATAAAACCTTTTGTATTTCCCCCACCCAACATCCCAACACTTGTAAAATCCCACACCAAATTTGCATTTTACACATAAGTAATTGTACAATTATTCAATTGCTTATATTGATATAAAATACTTAGTTCCTAAACAATAGTTAAGTTAAAAGTTAACGGTGACCACTTAACTCTGTTTGTAGGTAATTAGAAAATATTGTGACTTTAATAAATTTACTTAAGTAAATTTAATTTTATTTATAATTATTTTTAAAAATTTTGCAAATAAAACTAGGTATTAAAAGAACGCAGTAGGTAGGTTGGTATTTCATAATATTATAATAATAATTAATAAATAGAATGCATTCATCATTAAATTATGATTCATTTAAATAATATTTGATAGTAAATCCTATCAAATTTATAACTTTACGATAATAATTTGCAAGTCTGTGGTTATTTAACGATAAATATTTATGTTTAATCACACCCGCGCACTTATTATCGTGTGAACCAAACTTAAGCTTCCGCCCTCTATGTGTGACAGTTGTCATCTAAAAATCAAAGCAGAATGAATAGTACGAGCGTTTGTGGTTTATTGTAACGATTGTTGCAAAGTTTTGTGTTAAAACTGAAAATTGTTAGTGAAATGGCATCACTTCCGCGGAGAATTAAGGTGGAAACGAGGGAATTGGCGCGGGATCCTCCGCCGGGTATAAGCGCTATCCCAGACGGCGAAAACTGCCGTTATTTTCAAGTTGTAATGGCCGGACCTGCCGGCTCACCTTACGAGGGCGGTTTGTTTAAGTTGGAGCTGTTTTTGCCAGAAAATTACCCGCTGTCGCCGCCGAGTGTGAGGTTTTTGACGAAAATTTTCCACCCAAACATCGACAAGCTGGGCAGGATTTGTTTGGATATTTTGAAGAATCAATGGTCGCCGGCTTTACAAGTTAGGACAGTTCTGTTGTCCATACAGGCTTTGTTGAGCAGCCCAAATCCCGACGATCCGTTAGCGAATGATGTGGCGAACCTTTGGAAAAGTCGCGAACAAGAAGCTGTCCTGCTAGCCAAGGAGTGGACAAGAATATATGCCATGGAGTAAGCCACTTGTTTTTTCTGCTCTTAATAAAGTTAAACATGGCAAAAGATCTTTCGTTTTGTTTTGTCCTAGTTGGTTTTAACGTCGCGACGTGATTAATAAATTATTATTTTTAACTTGTATTTTATTTAGAATATTTTATCTTCAAGCTATAATTTAAGCTTTATTATTGTCAACGCTTATTACCAGAGTATTCAATTATCTCCTAGGCTGTAAAAATACTTTAGTCTGATCAGCCTATAGGCTGTAAAAACACGTCAAGACCAATCAAACAATTCGTTTACTATCAGCTGAAGCTATCTAACCTCACTTTATACTTTTAATAACAGTTATTACATAAAACTTACTTACAATAATAATAACAATTACTTACTGTTACAAATAAAACTGTGTCTTAAAGAAATGTTGTATGCCACTCTGCTGAGAAGTGACTTTTTGTGCTCGCTTAGCACAAAAAGACTCACTTCTTAGCCTTATGACATAAATACTCGTATTATGTTCAAGCTTTTTATAATTTAAGCTTTATTATTGTCAACGCTCACTACAAAAGTATTCGATTATCTTCTAGACTGTAAAAATAATTTAGACCAATCAGGTGTTTTTAAATCCTAGTCTGTAAAAAACATGTTAGGACCAATTCAAAAATTAGATAACTGATGACAGCTCTGAGCTATCTAACCTTACTTTATACTTTTATTAATTGTTAGGTTTTATGTATCGTTTAACAAATAAAACTGTGCCTTGAAAATAAAATGTTGTAAATGTACCATTTGGTGTTCGCTCAATTAAAGTCTTCTGCTAACGCGTCGGACTGAGCTCAGCACAAGAACACTCAAAAATACTTTATATACAGGGTGTTTCAGAAGAAGATGCTGAACCTTAAGGGTGTGAATCCTTAGTTGATTTTAAGAAAAAAAGTTCAAATAAACCCATGACCTAAACCTCTTAATTTTTGAGTTACAAGGTGTTAAAGTTTTAAGAAAAAAATCGTTTTTTTATCATAACTTTAATAACTTCCTAGATATTTTTATAAAATTTGGCACACGCCTTCTAAGCATTAACAGTAAGTTTTTGATGTAGAAGATTTTTTATTTTTTTACCAGTGGCGTCCGTACAGGATGTGGTCTAGATATTTTTGGAAAAATATTATGCACGCCACAGCTATTTTGGAAAATAAAAATTATTTTTTAAATCGTCATTCATTTTAGGGCATACTTGATTTCTTGACCATTTTTCGTACGACTAACGGTTTTCGATGAAAAAAAATAAAAATGGGAATATTTTAAATATTACCATCACTATTCTAGTGTGGAGAATTCTTCATGATTATTTGTCCTTACCATATTCAACGGGTCCAGGCCCTACTTCCTCGGGATTTTCCATTACGCTTAAATTTTTGCCAATGGTTTCTTCAAATGGTTACCGACAATCCCCAATTTGACGCCAAAATTTTATTTACGAACGAAGCTAATTTTTTCAGGAACGCCATAAGAAATTTTCAAACAATCATTTATGGACTGAAGAAAACCCGCATGCCATCACGGAAACCAACTACCAACAACAATTTTCTGTAAACGTATGGGCTGGAATTATTGGTGATTATTTACTTGGACCTTATTTTAAAAAATAGCAGTGGCGTGAATATTTTTCCAAAAATATCTAGACCACATCCTGTACGGACACCACTGGTAAAAAAAATAAAAATCTACATCAAAAAATTACTGTTCATGATTAGAAGGCGTGTGCCAAATTTTATAAAAATATCTAGGTTATTAAAGTTATGATAAAAAAACGATATTTTTCTTAAAACGTTAACACCCTGTATCTCAAAAATTAAGAGGTTTTGAACTTTTTTTCTTAAAATCAACTAAGGATTCACACCCTTAAGGTTCAGCATCTTATTCTGAAACAACCTGTATATTAATAGTTAAAAAAATGAAGCTAAAATGTTAGTTGAACCTAACCTAAAAATAATGTTTTAAAATATTAAAGAAATATTATAATATTTGCTTAAAAAATATAGAACCTATAAAAAAAGCTAAAGCAAAAGCTAATTAATTGCCTCGCACACAAGCAGAGCCTCGGCTTTCGCCTCGGCAGTAAAATCTATGCTCGGCTATATGCCCTTTCCCCGATTGGTAAGTACTATTATGTCAGTTTTAAGATCTTTCTAAACATAACCTAAAAAATTGTAATTTTGTATTTGGAAAAAAATGGTTAAATGTTAAATGGTAATGTATTTTTATATAAGTAAAGGTTGTCCGTTTTTCAAGGCTAAGCATGGGTATCTCTTAGATTTCAAAGAAATAATAAAAATTTAAAATTTGTCGATAAACTATCATAGTGGTAAATAATAAATTGCACCAATTAAATTTATATTATACTTATTGGGGGCGCTATGGGGCCGGTACGGCCAAGCAAAAAGTTATCTTGCTTTCCCAAACTTAAATTTAAATTCTGCTTGCGCAGAACTTGGTATTTAATGTCATTATAAACCCATATAAATTTGGTTTTGGGTCTCATATCTAATAATTGAGATATCGGTATATCCAAAATCCACCAGCCGCCACTGTGAATCACCCTGTATAAATATAGTACTACTAAAACGAGTTTTATAAACTTCTCTAGACACTCGTTTTTATTAAACACTCGCTTGCAAGCTGGCTTCGTGCTTACTAAAATTACATTTATAAAACTTGATACATAATATACCTACTGGTATTGTATTATTTTTATAAAATAAGACAAAATTAGCGGTAAACTGACAGATACATAACCTTAATTATTTGACTTTATCCACCTTATCTAAATGTTAAAGTGGGACTTTTTGATATGGAGCGCGGTTACTAGACTGGGCCAAAAAAATCGACTATTTTTTTTTAAGTACCTATATCGAAAATATGGTTTGGGGTCTGTGGTTTGGGGTGACAAAAAAAAATATTGTGAAAGTTTGAGTCCATAATATTAATATTAAGAGGTCTATCATCGCAATTTTAAATTTTTTTTCCTCAGAACTCCCAAACTATTGAGTTTAACAAAATTGTCTCTAAAATATTTTTTTAAGAAAATTAAATGCTCTACAAAAAAGATTGAAAAGAAATTTTCCATCAGATGAACTAAAATGAACTGAATTAAAATCCTGCCTTAAAAATTGGTATAGTTTTACAATTTGATCTTTTAACTTTGGAATTTTGTAACTCATGTACCCATAAAAAACCGATAAATATTCTTATGGAAAATCAAATGCTCTACAAAAAAAGTATTTTATCATTTTTGGCTAAATTCACTCCATCAAAAGTTATTCAAGGTTAAATTTGTCAAAGTCAAAACGAAATTTTAACCTTAAATAACTTTTGATTGAGTGAATTTAGCCAAAAATGTTAAGAGGCTTTTTTGTAAAGCATTTGATTTCCCATAAGAATATTTATCGGTTTTTTATGGGTACCGATTTTTACATGAATTACAAAATTCCAATTTAAAAGATCAAAATGTAAAACTACCAATTTTTAAGGCATGCTTTTAAGGAAACGGTTTATCTGACGGAAAATTTCACTTTAACCTTTTTTGTAGAGCATTTAATTTTCTTAAAAAAAAATCGAGTCAATTTTGTTAAACTCAATGGTTTGGGAATTCTGAGACAAAAACTTGTTGAGGAAAAAAAAATTAAAATTGCGATGAATGGACTCAAACTTTCACAATAATTTTTTTTGTCACCCCAAACTATATTTTCGATATACTTTTCAAAATAAAAAATAGTTGATTTTTTTGGCCCAGTCTAGTGGTTACCTGAGACGGGATAGTTAAAAAAAAGTGCTGAATAGAATCCCGGTTGTGGGCGGTGCTTTCTCGTGACGTTATTTTTTCTTTTAAATTGCCATGTGCCTTTTACCACAAAGATCTAATTAAACGAATTGTAATTGATCTGTTAAAAATCGAGTGTGCTTAAACCACGCCCACAACTCGGAGTCTATACACCACGTTTTTGTACTATATTACAAAAACTATAGTATTAAAAGATGCTGTATAGACTACCTATATATTGTATTATATATAATTATATTTAGTAAATAAGATATGTGGAAAAAATTCCGAACACGCTGGATTTTAAATAAGAACGTTATTATGTTTCATCTTGTCAAATAATTATATTTGAAGTTTAAAGCTTTATCAATAGAAAGCGACTCTTTGCAAATAAGGTTAAACAATTTAATTTTTTTCAAAAAAGGAAAGTGGGAAATAGGGAATATAGCATTTCACCTTTCAGCCCGTCACGACTAACATCCAAAATCCAGCCTATCCGGATTTTTACAGATGACTTATAAGAGGAATAAAAACATTAAAAAGTTCATATATTTTTATCAGCCACAAGTTTTTGCTCATAATTTTGGGACAGCATATACATGTATATACCTATAGGTATAAATAGGTTATTGATACAGAATAGAAGTATAATGATATTAGGTTTAATATTTATTGAAAAAAAAGTCAAAAAAGACAAAAAGAATTGTAATGCAAACTAACTTGTAACTAGACTTGATTTGATTTTATACGAATAGAAAATGTGTATGCACTTACATAATTGGCTTAAATATATAATCTAAAAGATTTTAATTTATCTAATTGCAACAGAAACATGCAATGCATATACCTAATTTGGATAAAAAATACCGAAACTTGTTTACTTTGTTGCCCTTTCAATTCAATAATTAAAACAAACGACAAAAAATATCAAATAATGGTTGTTTTTTTACATAAAATGCATTAAAATTTTAGTTTTAGTATTTAAAATGTCATATTGTTAAGATAAATATGATCTATTTGCCGTATACTAATTAATTTAGTACATTCAAGCCAAAATAATTTAATAAATAGGTAAATAAAAAATAAAATAATAAAATACTAACAAAAAAATTTACATTTTGATTCAGCAGAGCATTTTCTTACGAAATTATTTTAAATCCTAGACCCAAAATTAGTTGAACCAAGCTGGAGTACTCAATGTTAGGAGAAAAAAGTTTCTAAAACTATCATACAGGCCAATTCACTAACCTGAGTCGTTAACGTTAACCACTAGCATTAGTGGTTATCGTTATA